CAACACCGCGAGATGCAAAGTATAATGCAAAAGCTATTGATAGATCCATTTCGGTATTATGTGGATGTATCAAGTCTACAATTTTTGCTCTGTGCTCCATTGTTTCTGTATAAGGGACATTTATCTGCTTCATGTCAACTCTTGAGTACCAATGTCGAGTTAGTTTATCGACTCACTGCAACAAATCTCCATGTTCGATCAGGACAAACACTTTGAAGCTCTTGATGAGCTTTCCTCCCCGTTTCTCTATCAGGACAGAGCTCATATGGAGAAACTTTCTTATCCAATATTTGAGTTGTATTCGGAGGCGGAGCTTGTGCCCCTTTCTTCAGCCGAGGTCCGTTTTGTGCAGCTTTAATGACACGAGGATTTTCAAATGCAACATTGAGAAGATCAATCTCTTGATCTGATGGTAGTAAATCGTGTGCCAATCTTGCCAAAACTGTGCAATCTAGTCCACCGGAGAATAAAATCGCAAGCCTGACATTGTGAGAGTGACCTATACTTGGAGGAGTAGGGATAGTCAAAACCCTAGGTTTCAGAGACTCACATAAATAATGTCGTAATGACATCACTGATGGGGAATCAAGGCCGAGTATATGACTTTCATTTTCAACGTTTTTGTTAAACTTGCCAAGCGAGGGAGCCTGCAAATTTTAAGTTAGTACTGACTTGATCGGAACAGAATCGTAGCTAAACGACAAAGTATTTGAGCATTGTAAGGAACACCCACCGACGAATCAGTCTCTGGATCCTCCCAATCGAACTTTTGATATGGCAATAGTGATCCCGAAAGAGAATTATCCTGTGAATGAGACATTGACGAAGGAAATGTATTCTTATTAACACAGGAGAATTTGTAAATGCCATCTGCTTCAATTTCTTTCCAATCGCCTTTGGCGGGATCCGCCGTACTTGCAAACTCTATAGATCCAGCTGGTCCCAGAACTCCGGGTTCATCATCAACATTGTAAAGGAGAGATCTGCGACCAAGGCGATCTCGGCCACAATATATAGAACCGTGAAAGCTATCCCAGAAGACAAATGCAAAAGGTCCAGAAATGCTTCGTAAACTCTTGACCACAGCAAGTGACGCATTTGATGCCGAGGTAGCTGTTGAAACAGCTTTTACAAGCATCTCATATATAACTTGGCCATCATTACCATTAACGAGCTCACCACCAACCTTCCATGCCTCACCATTCCAGCAAAGGATTGAGCCAGAGTTGGTAGCAGACGCGTCAACACCCCTTGAACCATCAAATGGTTGTGGAGTGATATGATCCCCCCTCAGAGCTAAGACAGTTGATAAAAAAGATAAGAAGTATTGTGTTCCATCACTTGAAGTATAATTTGATTGTGACAAACCTGTGTGATCGGGACCTCTGCCGCAAAGAGAGTGTTTCAAAGCATGACTCGGGGTTTGCAATCCTCGCGTGGATATCGACGCGTAAATACCACACATTTGCGAACTTGTTAGACTCGTAAATTCCTAATCGACCAAATCCATTTACTTCGTGGATAGAACAGATTACCAAGGTATTTTCAAGGTTGTGCTGTCGTTTGATGTTTGACTTTACGTTGGATATTGATATTGATAAGGATCAAATTGACTTTGAAATTTATTTTAAGTTCAACCTTGGGCTGCACTACGGATCGTCATTTTAGCGAATCGACCAGATTACTTCACTGTCGAGGGTCGAGGAAACTTAGCAACCAAGATAATTAATTATCTTGTCCAATAAGAAGAGAAATAATAATTTCGATGCCTGGCTCTCAACATCCTTCTTAAAATACTCGAATACATTCTGCGAATCTACGAATCCTCTTCTCGAAGCTCCAAGATACCCTGGACCTTGAAGCTCGAATACCCCGCCTATCCTACAATTACACAAACGCCGATCAGAGGCGCTCGCGGATGTATGTCGTCTCCCAGACAGTCGGCAGAAGTTGTTCAGATCCCAGATGGACTATCACAGGGGCTCGCATCGACGGTGAGCTCGAATGAAAAGCTTGACAATCACAACTCTGAGCCAGCCTCGCCAACCAGTAAGGACATGGAGGACCAGGATGTTGGCAAAGAGACACCGTTGGCAGACGGAAGCGAGCCAGCAGAAGTCAATTCTCATACGACACTAGATAATGCATTGGATTCACTGAAAGATAAGGGAAAGGGCAAAAGTACGGAAGGAAACACTGTGGACGAGCTACGGACCGCGACCAACGAAGAGCCTGTACCGCAAGACATGGAATCATCTACTGCGACTTTAAAACCCGTTCAAACCCGACCCCCGAACATTTCTACGCAGAACATGTCACTAGTTGATCAAACGTATCTGGATCCTACCCCAAAGACACCTGGCACCTCTCGGCCTCCTTCACGATCTGCGTCGACTGCAAGAACACATCATCTACACGCGGAAGGGTTGGATAGATCACCTACGAGATCTGACGCAGGTTTCGACGAAAAAACCAGCGCAAGCGAGGACGAGCGAGAAGGAGGGTCTAGGTCAGAAATACAAAGCATAATGGATCAATTTGGCGAGGACGGACAAGGCCCAGGGCATGAAGAAGTTATGTCTCCTCGTCTTGAGTTTGCTGGCCCGCTTCTTGGCAGTCCAGTACAACACCCACCTCGCAAATCGAGCCTGGAACCCTTGAATGCAAATATTCTAAGCCAGAGTATAGGCGATTTACAAATATCATCAGCTCCTTCATCAGGTCAACGAACGAGGAACGACTCTGACGTCGGCCCAGCTGTCCCACCGAAAGCAGAATCTATACGTAGCTTTGGTAAAATGCAGGACGATCGTTATTCCTCCACAGATACTCCATTATCACCCCCTCCTTTGCATCGGCCCCCACCTCCCGAGCCAGAACCTGAACCGGACCTACCGTTCGATTTTCATCGATTCTTGGAACAGCTGAGGCACAGAACGGCGGATCCTGTGGCAAAGTTCTTACGGTCGTTTTTACAGGAATTCGCAAAGAAACAATGGATGGTACATGAACAGGTTAAAATAATAGGCGAGTTCTTGGCTTTTATCACCAATAAAATGGCCCAATGCGAGGTATGGCGTGAAGTTTCGGATGCAGAGTTTGATAATGCGCGTGAAGGCATGGAAAAATTAGTTATGAATAGGCTATATACCCAGACGTTCTCTCCGGCAATTCCTCACCCCCAGCCTATCCCAGGTGCAAAGCCAAGAAGAAGGGGTGCTGATCGACCCATGGGTCCCGGGCGAAGAGGACAACATCAAGAAGATGTCGAGAGAGATGACATTCTTGCTCAGAAAGTCAGCATTTATGGTTGGGTGAAAGAAGAGCATTTAGATATACCACCAGTTGGCGACAGTGGAAAACGGTTCTTAATTTTGGCACAACAAGGTAAGATTGGAATTCATGAAGGTTGATATTACTGCTGATCATGTCACTAGAAATTTTGAAGATCAAAACCTACAGAGCTCCACGGGACAAGATAATATGTGTTCTGAACTGTTGCAAAGTGATTTTTGGTAACTCCCAAAGCTGGTTAATTTGTTGAACAATCTTACTAAATTCAATCAGGGCTACTCAAACATTCAAAAACAGACTCATCGGCAGATTCATTTATGCCTCTCCTAATCTACGTTGTCCTTCAAGCAAACCCCGAGCATCTTGTATCCAACGTTCAATATATTCTTAGGTTTAGGAAATCAAGAAAGCTAGGAGGAGAGGCAGGATATTATCTTTCATCTTTGGTTAGTCACTTCAAGAATATTTGCGCATTGCAACATTAACTCCTTCGAAGATGGGCGCTGTCCAATTTATCGAAAACTTGGACCGAACAACTCTTACAATAAGCGATGAGGACTTTGAACGAAATGTTGAAGCCGCTGTATCCGCCATTGCCGAAAAGCATCAAGCTGAAGTCGCTTTAAGTCCTGTCCAAAACAGTCCGCCAACACAGCTTTCTGAGAAATCTGCTCCTAGCCGCCCCGAAGTAACCCCTCGACATTCCATGGAAGGCGAGTCGTCAGCCCCCAGAAGATCAACATCATCAAGCGAGTATGAAGCTGGGGATAGCGTAGACGAGAAAGCTGCCATGAGCGGTCTGCTTCGTACTATTCAGAAACCACTTTCTTCCATCGGAAGAATGTTCTCGGACGACCCTTCCCCTTACAGTGGGCCCGCGAGGACCCCTAATCCGGGGAATACGCCGCGAATGACTCCCTCGCCACGAGTAAGCATGGACGGGCTTCAGCCCCCACACCGGAGGCCTAGTGAACGTGAATCAAACGCTAGAAATAGGATGACAGCTGAGGATGCAGCTGCAAGACAAGCAAGTGCCGAGGCTGCAGAAGCACATCGTCTTCAGCGCGCAGAGCACGAGAATGTTGTAGAGACTCTTGCAGGAATGTTTCCAGATTTAGACAGGGAAATTATTAGTGATGTGGTTACTCAAAAAGAGGGAAGGTGAGGATTAGCCCCTTCAAGAAGACTCCTCTAGAAGTTGTCATACTAATTGTTAATTTAGGGTTGGGTCTGGCAGTCGATGCATGTCTTGCCCTCAGTTCTTGAACAACAGGACACGAAAACAGTTTATTATCATATTATCGCGTTTAATATCCACAGGTTTTATGCATTCAGCGGGTGGAATCATAGCGTTGCGTGGTCGCATTGGCGTTTTCCTCGTGTTGAATCTTCTGGTATATCCCTAGCGCAATTCGGCCTCAGAAGATCAGTAGCGAGAACGAAAGTAGATGTTTTATATAGTCGTAATTACTTTGTCCGAAATAATGAAAGATGATTATGAAAGCCTGGCCGTACTTTCATATTGAATATACTTCAGATGGAGATCAAAGAACCGTATATACGTCTGAAAGATGGACATATATTTCATAGCGTGCAAAAATCTCGGTTGAAATTGCTTGTGCTATCAACCAAATTTTGTCTCGGGAGGTATTCTGGTATTACCATGATTTATTCATTTCCTATATAACTGAGGATATATATTAATCATGGCCAAGAAGAAGAATAAGAGCCAAAATAATGGCGATTTCCCAGAAATCCAGGTTCCCGCGGCTTCTGTGCCATTACCAGCATCAACTACATCAACAAAGACGAAAAACAAAAGATACCAGCCCACGCAACAACCCTCAACATCTGCTCTTATTATTTGTCGCAACAAGTATGTCAATTGTTTACAATATCGTTTCCCTATTGCACAATTATGCGCAGATGTCATGGCTGTTTTGCAGATGCCATGCCTGAACTCATGAGGCGAAATTGTGCATCATCTTTTTTTTTCCAATTTGCCTCAATGCGCGTCCCGCATTCGTATTTAAACCATCCGACTAACTTTTTTTTTCGCAGACATTGGCGTTATATCTCTTCTTTCCATGGACCATGGCTACAATTGCCCCCTGAAGTTCTCGAAGCTCTCGCGAATAATAATTATGCCCTTCCTCGACCCCGACCGATCGACCCCGCGGTCTTCTTCGACATCCTTAAAATCCGACAGCTTGTTGACGATGCCACGAATCTCGCAGTGCGCGCCGCCAGTGGTGTAACATCTTCTTCTCTCTCGAACTCCTTGAATGCTGGGAATGGCTTATTAGGGAATGGGGGGACGGCGCTGGGCCTGGGGATTGGGGGAGGAGGGGGGAATGCCAAATTGAGTAAGGAACGAAACATCGAATGCGGGAACAGGCTACACAAAAGTTATCCAAGGCATATCATTTGGATGAGATCGCATGTAGCGTCGCGACGATGCAATCTGCTTCTACACTGGAGGATGTGGCCCAGCTTGTCCTTCAGAGAAATCCCAATGATTCAGATGCCAAATACGTTCACTTTTTTCACGAGAAGATTCCTTCGCGGCAGCTGGCAGAATGTACAAGTTTAACACCATTGGATGAAGTAATAGCAGATAGGCCGAGTGAAGGCGAAATACTAAGGACTCGAGCCGTTACAAAGATATTCAAGGAGGATTTTGTGGGAGCGGCGCAAGATCTTACTTCTGCTTTATCAGTCTGTAGATATTATCAGAACCAGCATAAGGCAGGCCGACAGCAAATACAGCTAGCAAGTGAAGCCGCCGCCGAAGCTCAGCGAAACAATGGTGGTAGATGGAGAGACGAGTTTAAGTTAGATGAAGAGGACCACCCGAGTAGTCTTGAGACCCAACTTCTGTTTCACCGTGCCGGTGTTTACTTAACTATTGCATGCCAACACGTTAATGCTGCTCTACCGCCTTCACCCCACCATCACGGTGACTTATTTACATTCGAGGCTGTAGACAAAGCCATGAATAGTCCCTGGCCCACCAACGGAGCGACAAGTAATGAAGACACAAGTAATGGAGAGAAAACTAATGGAAAGACAAATGGTGTGAATGGCACGTCAAATGAAGAGCCCGAGCTATCCGCAGCTGATAAAGAAGCACATCGAAAACGTCTGGAGGCACGGAAAGTTGTGAAGACAAATGCAAAGAGGGCTTTAAGAGATTATGTAGCATATCTGTCGCATCTGGACTACACCCCTGGTCTTCCAGCTGAGATCACGGAAGAATTCGTTCGCAAGGTAAATTTAGCTGCGAATGGTTACAAAATTCCTCGACCACCTCAAAGCAAGCATAGTAAGCGGGGCCTTGATTTAGAAAGCAACGCGTCACTGAGTAACGGTCAATTGTCCGATGCACTCGTACCTCATGTTGGCCATAACGGAAGAAGTCGTCCTCAATCTAGCACTTCTCGACCACCCGATTTGCCTTCTTTACCTCCGCCCAAGGTCTATCAAATCTCATCTCTATTCTCTTCTACTCCACCAGCCGATCTTCCTCCTTACCCAGAAACGGCCACAGCTCTAACAACTAAGCAACAACTTCGCGCATCCCAATCCGAGGCAGCCCAGCACATACTCGCCCAAGCCGATTGTCATGAAGCCCTCACATATCACCCCCTTCTAACTGATGCACTTCATTCCCTCTTACTTTGTCACTGTCTCGTGCAGACTTCCGCCCGTGAACTCCAGCGCCACGCCCATATGGTTGCGCGACTTGCTCGTGTTTGCGACGGCTACCCCATTTTCCAAGCCTCAAGATCGCCGTCTCGGGCCGACTGGATTGAAGTGATTCGCCGTAATGATAATTGGATTTCTCTCGCCGCATCATGGGAAACTCTTTGCGCACCCGCGCCGTTACCAGGTCAAAGTCCGAGCAATCAACAAAAAGAGACAGCTGCGGAAAAGAAAGAGAGATTAAAGCAGCAAGCTATTATGGAAGCACTTGAAGATGATCGTGTCCATGATGAAGCTAGTTTTCATGCAGCAGTAGCGGCTAGACAGAGAAGACAGGAAGAGGAAGCTAGGAAGGCCGAGGGAAGAGAAATGCCTAAGAGATGGGCGCAGGAAGATGGAAAGAGTAATCCTATAAGTACTGATAGGGCTCAGGCGATTGTCCGATGGATCCGGGAAGCCCCTCCTGGAGGTGATGGTACTGGGCTAAAGAAGAAGAAAAGAGGTGTCAGGGGTAAGGGGAAGAGTAGCGTGAGTGGCCTTAATGGGTCAGAAGCCGCTACTCAAAACACAAAGCTCGATAGGGAGGGAGAAGGCAACGAAGAGTTCGAGAGGATTGAGGAGGAAGTCGACTGATTGTCTGTCTCAGTTCGCACTGGATACCAATTTGATACACAATTTTGGACATGCGGCAAATCACTATGAAATGAGGCAGTCAAAAATCTACAATTATGTGTATATATATTTGCGATTAGCGTGTCATCCAAGAGAAGTGACAACTCTTACCTTAGCGTACCTATTATGAGTTGAGAATGCATCAATCACAGCATCAAGCGATAGATGTAATACTCCAGCTATAAATTCCACAAATATCATCCTACGTTGAAAATAACAACAGGGGGGAAGAAGCGATCTACATTGCAGATCACGGGCGCCCTTCACTCGACATCAACCTTATCCAATTTATCCGTAGAAGTCGTCTTTACCTGTTGTAGAACCATGGTATCGTACGTTTGGATTGACGTCGTATTTATGACGAAAGTAACGGTAAGCCTGTAGATCACGTCGGTGCCTGGCTAAGTGCGGGGTTTCTTGTCGTCTTTATATTTTTGCATCGGTATTTATACCCAGGTGATATTGTAAGCAAGAGATGGAGAGGAGTTCTATAAAAGGTGGTTTTCCCTTGTTTTACTTTGGGATAATATGTTGGTTTGTTGGTTTGTTTTTGGTTGTATAGTTATACTGAGATCCCGAATCACTGAGAGTACTGAATCTTTGAAGTATTGAAACAGAATTACCATCAAGTACGAGCAAAATGGCGGGAAAAGTCGACCCCAATGATCCGAGGAAACTGACAGATTTTAAATTATTATCTTTTGATGTATATTCCACATTAATCGACGAGAAAGGTGCGTTTCTTGCTTCTCTCATTATCTGTTTTTACCATCATAGCAATGAACCATATCCTCATGAACACCAACTCCTCCCCCTCCGTAAACCCACCGAACGACTAACCCCCTCCTCTCCAGGTGGGCTCTTCACTGGTCTCTACCCCCTCCTCTCTCGACTCCCCGAACCCCTCAAATCGAGCTATCTCAATTCCCGCGCCTCCACCCTCCAAGCCTTCCAACACCACGAACACCAACTCCAAAAAACTCACCCCACACTCCCCTACCCCTCCATCCTACATCTCGCCTACCTTTCCTTCGCCACATCTCTCCCCTTCTCCCCTCCCCCCTCCCCCTCCACTCTCGAATCCGAAGCCCAGGAGTTCTCACAAAACATCCCAAACTGGCCCGCATTCCCCGATACTGTTTCCGCGCTGCAGAAATTGCATAAGTATTACAAACTCGTCATTCTGTCGAATATTAATGAAGAGTCTATAGAAGGGACGATCAGAAATAATATTGATGTAGGATGGGATGCAGTGTATACGGCTCAAAGAATCGGGAGTTATAAGCCTGATTTGAGGAATTTTGAGTTCTTGATTGAGCATGTTGAAGAGGATTTGGGGGTAAAGAAAGAGGAGATTTTGCACACCGCGCAGAGTGAGTTTTCCCTTCTTATTAAGTTGGAGGGCGAACTGGATGAGAAGGATTTGGATAATATGTAAATGGGATGAACGCTAATGATGTTAATCTAGGCTTGCGAGCCGATCATGTGCCTGTGAAGAAAATGAAAATGACTGGAGTTTGGATTGATAGGGGAAACGAAGGTCAGGATTATGAAAAATTGAAGGATGAAGTCGCTTATACATGGAAGTTCAGCACTTTAGGAGAGATGGCTGATGCAGCGGAAGAGGCGTTCGAAGCCCAGGGAAAGAAGGTATAAATACCGACATACAGAAGCAACATGCAAAGTATAATACTTGGGTCTCTGAATGCATTCCATGAGTAACTACGTAGTACAGTTTGTGACTTTAAGATTTGAATGATATATATATATATATATATGTAAAGAACCCATGACACTGTACTGTGAAGTCGATCCCTTCTGTAAAACCCAACACTCAACACCTAACACCGAGTAATGATTTCGTAGCTCGTTTGCTCATCTCGATGTGGATATCAAATAAAATGGAAAATTGCAATAAAACGTTCAAGCCCCGCGGGGGAGCGTGGCTATGATACAGACATTGTTTTCTACACTACTACTTATGATCGAAACCTAACCACAAAGGTCATTCATCAATTAGATTACTGTTCATATTTGATGGGGTGCTCATACTGTGGGACGTGATTCATAAAGTTGTTAATCTCCGTTAACCCTTCAGTCTCCAAGCTGTGCATCAATTCTGTTTGTTGTTCTTGACTCAAACTACCTGATCTCAGTCCTGCTTCGAAGTTGTCCTGTGAGAACAAATGAGGTGGAAAGTTGTAATATTCAGGTTGCGAAAAATAAGGCATATTAGTTGCTAACGATTGCTGCATTGGCGGCAGTGGCGCTTGAGGTGGCAGTTGATGCTGCTGTGTGTGTGAAACAGGACCCCAAGGCATAGGATAAGATTGCGGTTGCTGTGGTTGTGTAAATTCTGGTGGAAAGTAGCTAAATCGTCGATCGGATTGCCCACTAGAGGGACTTACAAAGATTGAGTTGGACCGAAAGGACGGTTGCAGTGGAGGTAAGGGATGGCTGTAGTCATATGGAGGTATTTGCTCTGGCATTTGGTTGAAGACATATCCAAATTGTGGGGGGGATTGATACGCATTGTTATGCTGTGCATTGTGTTGCGAGTGAGGAAGTGAGGTTGATGTTGCGCTGGAGTGTTCGGATGCAGACGGCGAGTTTGCGTCGGTCAGCGATGGGGAAGTGGCAGAAAAAGATGAAAGCGAATTATCGCCAAGTTCATAACTTTTGAGAGATGCCTTGGTGAGAGTCATGTAAAGTTCTGATGTTGCTTGAGTTCCTGGCCACCGTTCGCGAGAACGTGCAACGATGTCTAAAGCTAAAGAAATATGCTCTTCAAGCTCTTCCTTTGTGTGAAGAGCGCGAACTTCAGAATACGAAATAGACCATAATACTGTGTTTATGGCCATGAATAGCGATAGGAGAAATGGCCATGTCAAGTCTATCATGGCGGTTTTTATTTGATCGCTTTGCGTCCTGATATTACTTGAAGCTGCATCATAACACATTATCGCGGAACGGTAGGACGGCTGGGGAACTTGAGGTGAAGGACGAAACAAGAAAATTATCATTGTATTGTACCTCCCGGTAAACCTAAAAAGTATATCAGCACAACCGTGTTTTGGGGAGATTGATGTTCGAATGGGCTAAGTTGAGTCGCATTCAACTATTATTGAGTAGGAAAATATTAACTACCAGGTTTTACTCCATGCTGGCTTTTCAGGAGACGCCTTGAGCCAATCTCCCAGTTTCTGAAGCATCTGGGCATACCAAGGATGCTCTTCATTCTTCGGCTCGTTTCTTTTTCGCAAATAAAGCGTTCTCCGGATCTCTGCTTGCAACAGTCTCATTCGAAAGAAGTGGATGGCTAACCGCTTTTTATCTGACATGGGACCAGGAAGGATACCATCAGCAGTTATGTACTCATCATCTACAGTTTGGAAAAACTGTATGTCCAAGTGGTCTCTCCCAATTGCGAAAGCATTCGGCCTGCCCATTGACTGCGCTAAACCAAGCTCCATAGATAAAACAATCCAAGCGAGCCTTCGCCGCATATCGAGCTGTAAAGGATCAATTAGACCAATAGATACGCCTTGAGTAATGGTCTTTTCTTCCGCTAGACCTAATTGTTGACACAGTCTCGTAGCAAGTCCAACAATATAGTATATAGCAGTGCGAGTGGGAGTAAGCATAGAATATTGAGCGATCAGAACAAGGCACTGTAGCGTCTTGATGTCTTTTGCTCTTATAACATCTTCAATGTATCCCATAGCAGCCAAATAATAGCTATCAGCAAGGCCTGCATACTGCATGTCCAGCTTTTGCATGCTTATAGCTAGAACCATGCGAAGGACAAAATTCTTATATGGATCGTTATCTCCATCATAAACTTCTTGAAGATTCTTGGCGAACGTAGGCTCGTGTAAAGTAGGGAGCATATACTGGGCTGTGTTGTAGTTAGCGAAAATTAGAGGAGTCCAACGTAACAATGCGGATGAGGGTATAAGCCAAAATTGAGCTCACAATCAGCAATATGTGACAAGGCTTCTTCGTCAAAGCATGGTTAGCAGCTTGAAAAGACTCGCATGTTCTTGAGACTTCACTCAGTTCACCTTTATCCTTCAAATTTACCATTGTTATCACGAAAAAACACAAATGCTATGAAGCAATTCACTACTCGGCAAAACAAAAAGATCGAAAGAAATTCATTGACTGACCTTTCTGACTAAACACCTCCACCAATTTGTCGGTCACTAGGCGACTTGGTAAAGTTGGCGCCGGCACAGCAGATATCATAGGATAAGACTTCTTTCGTTCCGAGGCTATATCTGGCGACTGTGCAGGAGTTCGACGTTGCCGCACTTCAGGCACGAGCTCGCGGATACTCCTGGTGTCTGTGTATTTCTTTGCCTCCTCCATCACTATCCGAGTCATCGCAATGCCACTTGAAGGCCCCAAGTATCGTGGCGTCTCATCATCGTCGTTAAGTCGGATCAAGCCTCCCGGGCGTACAATATCTTCCGAGTCTGGGGGATTCCCCTCTTCTTCCACCAATTGACTAAGCTCCATCTCAAGTGCCCGAACTTTTTCTTGCAACTTTATCACGTATGTCCTCGAGATTTTCTTGCCTTTCGTTGTATCGAAGTACTCGCATACTGCCCCCGCACGCTCGCAAGGCAAGCATCGTGGTAAATTGGGATCACACCTTGTTTTCCTCTGAAAAATAACAGAAACATCGTTAGTATATCTATACTATAAATTGGTAGAATGGCTAGTGTATTACACACCTGGCGGCATCTGCAGCAGGCAGTCAAGGTATGTGCGATCCTCGGTGAACTATCCTCGCTTTCATGCGAGCTCTCTCTTGCGTGAAGGGACTTCGCATCGCGAGCTCTATTGACAGAGCCTAAGGCTTGTCTGAATAAATCTACTGTGTCCATCGACAAAGTGATAATATTAGATAAGAAGGTCGGTTTTGTCGTTGTAGCGCCAAACTCTTGTAAGGCTTA